TAATTGAAATTACAGTGTATTTTTTTTATTACAAATATTTGCACTATAAAAACGATAAACAAAAGATACCGTATTTTTCAATTCACCTCAGACAAGTACTGTAGTGCAATCTCTTTCTTGTGAAAGTGCAACTTACAAATGTAGATTTTTTTTTGTTACATAACTGCACTCAAAAACAAAACAACGTAAAACTTCAGAGCCTACAAGTCCACTCAGACCTACTTCTTGTTCAGCCAATCGCTAAGACAAGTTTGTTTACATTTGGAGGAGATAATGCTGCCCTTTTCTTGTTTACAATGTCACCAGAAAATGCGAACAGGTATTTGCATGGCACTTTTGTAGCCAGCACTGCAAGGTATTTATGTGCCAGATATGCTAAACATTCGTATGCCCCTTCATGCTTTGGCCACCAATCTATAGGACATGCTTCCATGCTGAGGACGCTCATTAATAATACATTAATTAAATTTATGACTGAACTCTTTGAGGGAGAATTGTTTGTCCCCTGCTCTGTTTTACCCGTATTCTGCCATATATTTCATGTTATAGCAGTCTCAGATGATGACCCAGCACATGTTCATTTTAAGAACATTTTCATTACAGATTTGACAAAATGCGAAGAAGGTATCAATGAGAGATTTCTAAAGATAGCTACAGCACTTGATCCAAGGTTTAAGAATCTGAAGTGCCTTCCAAAATCTGAGAGGGATGAGGTGTGGAGTATGCTTTCAGAAGTCTTAAAAGAGCAACACTCCAATGTGGAAATTACAGAACCCGAACCACCAAAAAAGAAAATCAACCTTCTGCTGGTGGCATCTGACTCAGATGATGATAATGAAGATGCATCACTCCGCACTACTTTGGATTGTTATCAAGAAGAACCTGTCATCAGCATGGATGCATGTCCCCTGGAATGGTAGTTGAAGCATGAACGGACATATGAATCTTTAGCGCATCTGGCACATAAATATCTTGCAATGCCAGCTATAACAGTTCCATGAGAACGCCTGTTCTCACTTTCAGGTGACATTGTAAATAAGAAGTAGGACTGAGCGGAGTTGCGGGCTCTAAAATTTTACATTGTTTTATTTTTGAATGTAGGCTTTATTTTAACATAATTCTACATTTGTAAGTTCAACTTTCATGATAAAGAGATTGAACTACGTACTTGTATTAGGTAAATTGAAAAATACTATTTCTTTTGGGTATTTTTCAGTGCAAATACTTGTAATCAAAAATAAATATAAAGTGAACACTGTGCACTTTGTATTCTGTGTTGTAATTGAAATCAAATATATTTGAAAATATAGAAAGCATCCAAAATATTTGAATAAATCGTATTCTATTATTGTTTAACAGCGCAATTAATCATGCGATTAATCACGATTAATTTTTTTAATCGCTTGACAGTCCTAATGATAATACCTTAAAAAAGGAGATGATGTAGTTTCTCAAAACAAGACAGTTGTGATTACTGAAAAAGTCTTTAGATTTATTCAGTTAATGCTCCAATGATATAAAACATGAATGATTTACTATCACATGAAAATGTGGGAAAGTTTATCTATGAATTATGATGAGCTAATACCTGTTTCAAAAGGCAGGTTGAGCAAAACATGATAATGAAGTCTAGGTATTGCTATCTCAGAGTAGGCCAGGATGACACTTTGCAATACAAAGGTGTGCAACACCAAGAAATCAGCTATGCACAGTCAGACCTTAAGGATGAAAGACTTCACTAATCTATGACTCCATTCCTGATTTGTTTGGTGGACAAGATACGGGACTATGTACTCACCCTGGCAGAAGCCTGGTGCCTTGGACTTTTGGTACCAATGAGAGGCTTTTAATGAATGCCATGTATTTGAGACAAATTGAAGACCTGTGTTGGTATAACTCAGTTTGAGACTGTCTTTCACTGATCAAGTCACAGTTTTGGACAAACTACACCTTTCAATTTCTTGGCTCAACACCTACAAGTCTATGATGGAAATGTTTTCTGTGATCTCTCCATGAACAACATGCACTGGTTAATACTTCATTCAAACCTAACTTATTGGTTCACTGCTATTGTGCTACAAAGGGTAGCTGTGTCCAAACAACATACTTGAAGCATCTCAATCCATTGAAGCTATTTACCTTATATGAAGGAGTAACAACATGACATCCCCCTAAGCCAGCATTTCTCAAACATTTCTAAGCTAATTGGTCCTTCTAGAAAATAAAACCAATAAAACTCTCCTTCATCCCCACTTTATTACCAGGACAGCTTGGGGGGAAACTTACACAGTCACTGTTCCAGGTCCCTGGCTAGTCCTTTAAACCCTCAAAGTGAGCATGCCCCATATGCTGGGAACTGCTGCCCTAAGCTATGGGGCATTGCTTTGACCATGAAACACCAATAGGTAATCCATTGCTGACACTCCTTGGTTCAAATTCTTCCAAATACTGATAGCCTTATTTGGGTAAGTGCAATTGTTCCCATATGGGAACAAAACATTGACTCGACTTGCAACTGCTATTTGAGGTGGCATGTATCAAAGGGGAAATGATTGCCTAGGAAGGAATACTGCTGAAAGGGATCTGGGGACATAATGGACCACAAGCTAAATATGAGTCAACAGTGTAAAGCTGTTGCAAAAAAAGCAAACATCCTTCTGGGATGTATTAGCAGGAGTGTTGTAAGCAAGACACGAGAAGTAATTCTTCCGTTCTACTCTGCGCTGATTAGGCCTCAATTGGAGTACTGTGTCCAGTTCTGGGTGCCATATTTCAGGAAAGATGTGGACAAATTATAGAAAGCCCAGAAAAGAGCAACAAAAATTATTAAAAGTCTAGAAAACATGACCTATGCAGGAAGATTGAAAAAATCAAGTTTGTTTCGTTTAGAAAAGAGAAGATGAGAGGGGTGATAACCGTTTTCAAGTACATAAAAGGTTGTTACAAGGAGGAGGGAGAAAAATTGTTCTTCTTAACCTCTGAGGATAGGACAAGAAACAATGGGTTTAAATTGCAGCAAGGGAGGTTTAGGTTGGATATTAGGAAAAACTTCCTGTCAGGGTGGTTAAGCATTGCAATAAATTGCCTAGAGAGGTTGTGGAATCTCCATCATTGGAGATTTTTTAAGAGCAGGTTAGACAAATGACTGTCAGGAATGGCCTAGATAATACTTAGTCCTGCCACAAGTGCAGGCGACTGGACTTGATGACCTCTTCAGGTCCCTTCCAGTTCTATGATTCTATGATTCTATGAAAGCTACTTGTTTTTATGCAGGCAAGCATAGATAGCTTTGTTCCATGGGATGACTGTGTGCGCACTAGACAAACAGGGTGTGAGTCATGACTGCTTTTTTGAAGTGTCTGAGGATTGAGGGTCCTGCTTTGTGAAGTGGTTCTAAACCAAGGAAACTTAGCAGCATTCAGTGTCTTGGCTACCAAACTTTAAGCAGCCAAACTTGATACTGTAGTCTATTGTTCAGCATATATCAGCTTCCTGTTTCCAAACACAAGCACTGAAGAATGGTACTGGGCCAACAGTACCTGTCTCACACATTTAACATTTATTTTAGTGATACAAGTTTGGTCCCTTAGAGGCTTCTGGATATAACAGTTAGCTGAAGCTCCATGGCCTTGATATAGCCTGTGTCAAAAGGCTGCTTTTGCCCTGACATGTGAATTTCCAGTATGAAGGACAGTTCTGAGTGGATATCCAATACCTTAATGTATTCCTAGGTTGAAGCCTCTCTCTGCCCAGCAGAATCGCAGTGAATGAACACTCTGGCCAGCCAGTTTGGAGATACGAATTTAAGATAAAGGCCCAGTTGGCAAATGATCTGGGGTGTGTGTGTGTGGTTTCCCAACAACTGGGATCATCATGAGTTTACATGAAGTAGGAGTGGAGCAGCAGCCAAGATGTGAAGGGAGACAGGAGCACTAGTAGAGATGGGTCAAGTGTTAGGGGCAGGGCAGGGCAGAGCAGAGACCAAGGTGGAGTTCCTTGATTAACAGAAGAGGAAGAGAGTGCTGGAGTGGCCTCTGAGCCAAACAGGAGCTGCAGAGGTAGGCTGAGAGGAGGAGCTGGAGGCATGGGTGTAGAAAAGTGCAGGTTAGAACAAATAATTGCAGTGACTGAACTTCTGCAACCCCTTGAGCTTTTAGATTGGAAAAGGTTTTATGAGTCCCACAAGGTGAGAGCACAGGCCAAAAGGAGTCAACATAGAGAGGGTCCAGTTTCCCGCTGTTATATCCACCCCTGCTCCCTTAGACAACTGATATTTTTTAATTTTCCTGTTGCTCTTTCCACAGTATACAGAAGATTTATTTTTTTACTTCATTGCAATTGTTCAGGTAAGACCCAGAAGCTGTAATCTAGTCTCAGCAATTTTTTTATGCTGTGTCTAGGACTATCTGTCACTTTTCACAAGGTGCTAATTTCATTTTCAGAAAAATTTCTATGAGAAAAATATAAAGCCCTGAACTCAAGTAGGTAAAATGTGGACACCAGCTCTTATGAAGGGAACAGCATCAATTATGTTGAACACTCTTCAGTAGTTGAACCCATCTCTGTGAATTAAATGTTTAGGTCCTGACATCAATTCTAGTTCACACCAGCAACAGAAATTTTCCCATTATCCTTCGCTGGATGGGGTATATTAGTCTTTTCTTTCATGACAGAAACAGAATTCAATCATTTTAAACAGGTGTTCTGAAACTAGGACTCTTTGTTATCAATGGATTCCAGTCATAGGAAGATCATAGTTCCTTCAGGAAGAAGCACTGAGCCCAATGCACACCCTTCCGATTTGGTAAAGAGAGGCCTGCTCTTTGCACTTCACTTTCTAAAACTAACTCCACTGGAGGAGGATAGAGTGTTGTTCCTGTCCCAAGCACCTCCCAACAATTACTAGAAGTCTCCATGTGCTTAAATTGATTAAAATAAAGGAAGTAATATTCCCTAGCCCTAATTTAAAAGAAAAAAGAGTCCAACTAAATGTAAAGTACCTCGGTAATTGATGATTTCTGTTCCGAGCACTGGGGTCATCTCCAGAACTGTGATGAAGGCTTTGTCCATAGATGTCAATGGGAATGGAGACATGCGATGTCTTCTGGCCACCTTGGTAATGTCGACGGCACTGTGACCTGCAGAGAGGAAGAACATCCAGTTTAGAAAATATTCCATGGCACTGCCTTGGAAGGCTGACAGGATGACTTACATATATTCAACAACTTTCATTCAGAAGACTAACATAGTGTTTTACAAACTACATAGAGGAATAGCTTCAAGTTCACAGCATTTATGGCTAAAAAGTGAAAGCTACTGTATTCATAAAGTCACATAGTTAAGGCCAGAAGGGACCACCAGATCATCTAGGTGGACCTCCTCTATATCACAGCCACCAATACACTATCCAGTATCCAATATCCAGCTGTGGCCATCTCTAATGCCTCAGAAAAAGGAGACTAAAAAACCCTCCAGAGTACACTAAGGGACAAAAAAAAAATCCCCTCAGCTATCCAGCGGAAGCCTTGAAGCATAAGCTCTGAAATTAACTGAAATTGCAGAGGAAATTTAGGGAAACAAAATATAATTTTCAAAACTGAAAATGATTACAGTGGTTAATATCCCTGCTCTTATGAAAAATGCTCTGGGAGATTTAATGATGACAAGAAAACAGTACATCACTATTACATATCTTTCAAAAGATGGTGCTATATTTGACACCATGGATCACGATGTGAGGCTGATTCACCTATGGGAGCAAGGTAGGGACAGTGGCAACCCTCTCAGATGGTTGTTTCTCTTGAACAGACTGCCCCCAGAATGTTGTGGTGAGTAACTGCTCTTCAGCAGTCAGGGCCCTCATCTGTGGAGGAGTTCTACATGTTTCTTTTCTTTCCTCCTCTCTCATTCAACATATATGTTAAAATCCTTGGAGAGATTGTCAAATGCCAACAATTGAAGTATAAATCTACTTGATCTCAAGTTCAAATCACAACTCTTTCCAAGCTATCCTAATGCTTAAATGAGATCAGTGGCTGAATGAGGAACAGATGGCTAAATTAAATCCAGCGATGACACGTGATGCTAATTTTTTTTTTTAATTTAATGAATGGAGATATCCCATCTCCTAGAACTGGAAGGGACCCTGAAAGGTCATCGAGTCCAGCCCCCTGCCTTCACTAGCAGGACCAAGGACTGATTTTGCCCCAGATCCCCAAGTGGCCCCCTCAAGGATTGAACTCACAACCCTGGGTTTAGCAGGCCAATGCTCCAACCAGGGAGATACTCTGAAGCACCAGTCAAAACTGTTCCCTCATCCTCAAAAGAGGGTGTCTGTCCCACCATCATTAAAATGGTATGCAACCAATAAGTCCTCCTGGACTCTTTTTAACTTTAGACACCAAGTAACAACAGCAGCAAAAACACTTTCTTCCACCTTTGGCTTGCCAGACGATTACATCTCATCCTGTCAGACACAGACTGGGCGATGGTGATCCATGCATTTGTGACTTCCAGGTTTAATTACTGTAATACAAAGTGTGACGGGTCCCCCAAAGAACTTGCGAATAAATCCATAGTCACTAACGAGAGACTCCTCGTCACAGTAGGAATTAGAGGCAGCAATGACTGCAGCAGTGGGGCAGTGGTGTATGTCCCCGTTAGGGCTCCTCTGCTGCTTCTAAATGTGGAGGAAACTGGAGGTATCTTCTGCTACAAGGGCGCCAGAGCTCAAGTGCCACTTCCCTCTTCAGGAGGAAGGAAAAAATAGGAGGAAAAAAAGAAGGCACTCTGAGGATTTGCCTGGGAGTACTGTTGGCAGCAGAGTGGCAGGGAGAGAGGCCGACCTGGGGCTCTCATGCCCTCCCAACCTCCTACTTGCTGGTGATGAGTGACTTACCAGACTATGTTTTTTTCCACTCAGAACGGTCTTACTTTTTGCCAGGTGGCCGTTTGCTCCACCCTCCTGTTGCCCTGGTCCCTCAGTCACTCTGTTGTCAGCTTCAATCTCCTTGCCCTCTATGCTCCTCTCCATCCTTTCCTCTCTCCTTCCTCTCCCATCTCACTTTCCCTCCTCAACGTCTCCCATCCACTCCCTTCCTCTTATTAACTCACTCCCACCTGCCTTCCCTTCATTCCATACTTCCTAAAATAGGTTTAAAAAACAAAAGCTATAGCATAAATACTGAAAAGTAAATTTGATTTTTAAAACCATTTCCCTTGCAATAATGTGTTATCAGTAACACAGATTAGGTATTTTATCTCTGGTGTCTCTATGGCTACCAAGCTCCCTATTTGTTGCTTTACGTATCTTCAGTTCTTTTAAAAAGGTTATTTGAAACAAGAGAGGATGTCTCCATTGTGGTCTGCTGTAAAAGTACTTTATAAGCACACTGCCAAAAACTGCCGTTGCTCAAAGGAGGATGATGCTGAGTCAGTACAGTAATGACTGAGTGCATAAAACTTCCTTCAATGTCAACACATCCTCACTCACATGACTTATGTAGGACATTATTTATGAACTAATTTCTATAGCTGAAGATTACCTAGTGGTATAGCTGCCTCTCAAAAGCTACATGAAGCAATCAAATCTTATTACTAAACCAAAGTCAATGTCATTTTTTATAAACAGGCAAAAGTCCCCATTTCCTTCTGACTCCTCTTGTGCTTGGCTCAGAATAGCATAGGAATTAAGTTCCCCAAGTAATATTTATATTTTCCAGTTCACCTTTTGTCCTCTTTTCAAAGGGACATTTATTATTTACTACGCCCAAGAGACTGACAACTCTGAAAGCAAAGCAGTTTGAAGAGAGAAAGACTACTTCAGATTCAGAAAATCCTTTAGTGTGTAATTGCCATTAAAAGAAACATTGGTTAAAAGGATGACAGAGCTCCTGCAGCCCTGGGGGACGCCAGACTGCACATATTAACATGTTTAAATGGACTGTATAAGACGTGCACTCTTTTGCAAAGGAAAACTGGGAAATGTGAATGGGAACACTACGAAAGAATTGTCCTGGCAGTGACAGCAAAAGGGAAAGTGCAATGCATCAATTTCCCTCTATTCCACTACCATCAGGCTGCTGGAACACCAGCTGCTACTGCATTACTAAATAGAAATCCATTAAAAGAGAACATCAGCTGGCTAGTCAAAAGTTATTCCAAGACATGTATATAAATCTTTTACGAGCACATTGCCTGGAACTACTCAATCTTTTTACTGTGGTTCACACCAATATGCCCAGGGTTAAAAAAAACAACAACCAGGAGCAGTAAAATATTTTCACAGCTGCTCTAATTTTTTTTAAATTATTTTAAATGAATATAGGTCTCCTCGTGATGGTGTCAGGCTGTGACTATCAGGAACTTTCAGTATACTTTCGACTTTTCAACTTGGTGCTCCAGTGCTATTCATAAACTTTTTGGAATGTATGGGATTAGCTTGTGCTTAAGCTGTGTTTCCTAGAAAATCCAGCATTTGATAGCTCACCCATACAAAATAAATTTTATAAGAAGAATGACTTTCGCAATCTTGTGTATAGAGTTTCCAGATCTAGTTGCATATCTTTGGACTTCATGTCTCCTAGTATACCTACCATTGGGGACACACTGGTTTTTCATCCTGTGTTTTTTTTTAAGGGGTCATGATTTCAATGTTTCTATTTACATATTACACATGTAATAACAGAACTGAAATGTCATATGATTAAACACTCCAAACAAGATGTAGCATGATGACATTATGTACCACATCATAATGAGATCTCTATCCTAGTCATGCATGTACAGGTCAGAAGAATATAAGAATGCTCATACTGGATCAGACCAATGATGCATGTAGCCTGACAGAGGCCGGTGCCAGATGCTTCAGAGGGAATGAACAGAACAGTGCAATTACAGAGTGATCCATCCTCTGTTGTCCAGTCCCAGCTTCTGGCAGTCAGAGGCTTAGGGACATCCAGGGCATGGGGTTGCATCCCTGACCATCTTGGCTATTAGTCTTTGATAGACTGATCCTGAATGAACTTATCTAATTCTTTTTTGAACGCAGTTACACCTTTGGCCTTAACAACATCCCTTGGTAATGAGTTCCACAGGTTGACTTTGCATTGTGTGAAGAGTACTTCCTTTTGTTTGTTTTAAACCTGTTGCCTATTAATTTCATTGGGTAATCCCTAGTTGTGTTATGTGAAGGAGTAAACAACACTTCCTTATTCACTTTCTTCATACTATTAATAATTTTACTGACCTCTATCATATCCCCCCTTAATTGTCTCTTTTCCAAGCTGAACAGTCCCCCTCTTTTTAATTCCTCCTCACATGGAAGCTGTTCCATACCCCTAATCATTTTTGTTGCCCTTCTCTGTACCTTTTCCAGATCTAATGTATCTTTTTTGAGATGGAGCAACCAGAACTGCATGCAGTTTTTAAGGTGTGGGCATACCAGGGATTTGTACAGTGACATTATGATATTTTCTGTCTTACTATCTATCCCCTTCTTAATTGTTCCTATTATTGTTAGTTTTTTGATTGCTGATGCACATTGAGCAGATATTTTCAGAGAACTATCTATAATGACTCTAAGTTCTTTTTCTTGAATGGTAACAGCTAATTTAGACCCCATCATGTTCTATGTAATGTTTGGATTATGTTTTCCAATGTGCATTACTTTGTATTTATCAACATTGAATTTCATCTGCCATTTTCTTGCCTAGTCATCGAGTTTTGTGAGATCCCTTTGTAACTCTTCACTGTCTTCTTTGGACTTAACTATCCTGAGTAATTTTATATTGTCTGCAATCTTTTCCACCTCACTGTTTACCCCTTTTTTCCAGATCATTTATGAATTTGTTGAACAGCACTGGTCTCAGTACAGATCCTTGTGGGACCCGGCTATTCACCACTCTCGATTCTGAGAACTGAACATTTATTCATACCCTTTGTTTCCTAGCTTTTAACTAATTACTGATAGAGAGGATCTTCTCTATTATTCCATGACAGCTTACTTTGCTTAAGAGCCTTTGGTGAGGGACCTTGTCAAAGGCCTTCTGAAAATCCAAGTACACTATATTCACTGAATCACCCTTGTCCCCCACCAAGAATTGTAACATGTTGGTGAGGCATGATTTCCCTTTACTAAAGCAGTGTTGGCTCTTTCCCCCAACAAATCGTGTTCATTTATGTTTCTGATAAGTCCATTTTTCACTATAGATTCAACCAAATTGCCTAGTACTGAAGTTAGGCTTATTGGCCTGTAATTGCCAGGATCACCTCTGCAGCCTTTTTAAAAAACTGGCGTTACATTAGCTATCCTCAAGTCATCTGGTATAGAGGATAATTTAAGTGACAGTTTATATACTAGAGTTAGGGCATGGCTATACTTGCAGATGTAGAGCACTTTGAGTTAAACTAGCCTTCGTAGAGTGCAGCAGGGAAAGTGCTGTAGTCTGTCCATACTGACAGCTGCCAGCGCACTGGCATGGCCGCATTAGCAGCTCTTGCAACGGCCACAGAGAGCAGTGCATCGTGGTAGCTATCCCAGCATGCAAGTGGCTGCAACGTGCTTTTCAAATGGAGGGGTGGGGTGGGGTGGGGTTGAGTGTGACAGGGAGTGTGTTGTGTGTATGTGGGCGGAGAGAGAGTGGGTTTTTGGGGGGCTGAGAGCATGTGAGCATACTGTCTTGTAAGTTCAGACAGCAGCAGACCTCCCCCCCCACCCCGCCTCTCTCTCTCTCACACAGCATTCCACAGTAATGGTTGCTTTGTCTCGGAACAGATAAGCAGCCGGCTGTCAAACGGAGATTTCAAAGGGCATATCCAAAACAATGACAAGAGTGGTCACTTAACTTAAGGGGATTATGGGACATTTCCAGAGGCTGATCAGAGCGCAGTAATGCAACACCTCATTCACACTGACGCTGGGGCGCTCCAGCGGGGGTGCATCAAATGTTATTCTACTCGCCGAGGTGGAGTACCAGGAGCGCTCTAGCTGTGGAGTCAGAGCGCTCAACGTACCCTGCCAGTGTGGACGGGTAGTGAGCTAGTGCACCCGGGGCTCCTTTAATGCGCTGTAACTCACAAGTGTAGCCAAGCCCTTAGTAGTTCTGTAATTTCTTATTTGAGTTCCTTCAGAACTCTTGTGTGAAGCCCATCTTGTTCTGGTGACTTATTACTGTTTAAGGTATTGATTTGTTAAAAAACCTCCTATATCAACACCTTAGTCTGGGACAGTTGCTCAGATGTGTCACCTAAAAAGACTGGCTGGGGTGTGGGATTCTCCCTCACGTCCTCTGCAGTGAATACTGAATCAAATAATTCATTTAGCTTCTCTGCAAGGGCCTTGTCTTCCTTGACTGCTCCTTTACCACCTTGACCATCAGTGGCCCCACTGATTGTTTGTCAGGTTTCCTGCTTCAGATGTACTTAAAAAAAATGTTGCTATTTTGTATATCTTTTGCTAGTTGCTCTTAAAATTCTTTTTTGGCCTGCTTAAATATATTATTATTCTTGACTTGCCAGAGTTCATGCTCCTTTCTATTTTCCTCAGTAGGATTTGACTTCCAATTTTTAAAAGATGCCTTTTTGCCTCTAACCGCCTCTCTTACTCGGTTTACCTATTGTGGCATATTTTTTTTGGTCCTCTTACGTTTTTTTTATTTGGAGTATACATTTAATTTGAGCCTCTATTATGGTATTTTTAAAAAGTTTCCATGCAGCTTGTAGGCATTTCAGTCCTGTGACTGTTCCTTTTAATTTCTCTTTAATTAGCTTCCTCATTTTTGTGTAGTTCCCCTTTTTGAAGTTAAATGCTTCTGTGGTGGGCTTCTTTCGTATTTCTCACCCTCCACATGAATGTTAAATTTAATTACATTGTGGTCGCTACCGAACAGTTTAGCTACATTCACCTTAGGTTAGGGTTAGGTCTCCTCACCCTTCCCCACACACTTGTCCACTTGCTGATCTTTACAATTAAATGCAAGCTCCAGGCATGAGATCGGTCCCAAGAGGAAAAAGTAACATGTTGTCCACTGATTGGATCCAATTGCTGTATCTGCTGGATTCCAACACACTGAACACACCAGATATCTGGCAAGTAGTGCATAGTTTTAATGCAAAGTACAGTGTGCCTCACTTTCATGTTACATACACCACAAAAATAAAATATATGATTTGTTTAAAGTGTGCTTATATTCTGAAATATGACTATATATATATTCTAATGTATTCTCTCTTTGTGATTCTAGATCAAATATGTTTAATGTACAAGTCAAAAAGATAATTTTTCTAACTATCTGCACCACAAACTGCTCCTGGGATCTGAGAATCCTGCTGGGCTCTTTCCACCTCTGAAACCATCACTGGGAATAAAGATTAGTCATTCTGCAAGTTGAATTTAGCTGACAGTTTTCGATGGTGTGTAAAGCAAAATAGAATCCAGCTTGCTCTTCTATAGCTGTATTAACTGCAGGGTTAACAGGAGTAAAACATTTTTCCTCATTGTGATGGGGCAGATAGGTCCCGTTGACAGGGTTAATGAGGGCCTGTGGACCTAGTTAGCCCTGCCCCTCATTTACCTGCAGCAATGTTAGGCATGAAGAGGGGAAGTTAAAAGGAGATCTACCCTATTTCAGCCCTGCCCAGCCTCCTGATGTGAGAGAAGGCTGTCTGCAGCTCAGAGACTGCGGAGGAGCTCCTGTTAGAAGGGATGAACAAACCCTGTGAGATCACGGGAACCATGGATTGTTTGAAGGCAAATCCCGAAAAGAAGGGTAGGGTCCCACCGAACCTTCATTGGATGACTGAGTTTTAAGTTGTGATTTTCTGTTCCTTTTTTCTTTTAAACCATAAACTAAGGGTAAGATTGAAATGTGCCTCTAAAGAGGGATAACTACTTAACAGAAAGAGACGATACAAGCACACCATGTATTTGCTAGTCATTCTAGTATTCATGTTTTCAGGGTTTCTGAGATTTTCTGTTTTATAAAAGTTATTGATAAATATTTTAGATACCACAATTTCACCTCCTAGAACCCTTGGAGTGCCACACTTAATGTATACTCAGTGTCCAATTTTTTGAATGGCGCCCACACAGCTGTGAGAATTCTCTGGAAATGAAGATATACATAATTCTATGGAATTCAAACCATGTCAAACAGCTGTCAATTTGCTTTTTTTATGTCAAATGTCCAAAACGATCTGTTAAAAATCTAGGGGGGAAATGTCTCTAAATTACAAATATTCTTTTTTTTAAAAGCGGGAGGACGGAAATCCACCCATCTTGCAAATTTTTAAAATCACAGATGAAACAGCAGTCATTACTTTTGCAACCTTCCTCCTCCAAAAGACACAACCCAAAACAAAAAATAACCTGGATCTACAGTAGCCTTTCATAATGCTAAGGCATAAAAGAGGAAGGAAACATACAGAGCTATCATTCGTTTTTCTCTATTTCTTCTTAGAACTGATTTTTCTTTTTCTTTCAGATATGTCAGATATTTAAAAGCAGAAATCTTAAATTCCTGTTAAGTTCATGGACAAGACCAACTTATAAAGATTTTGTTTTTTTAATTCCCAGTTATGGAATAGTAGATTTCTTTTTTTTACAAAATCTAGATGACGATAATAAATAAATAAATAATAAGCTTCAGCCCTCACAATCTTCCACGCGAGTATCTCAAAGTGCTTTTAAAGACAACTGTTTATATCCCACAACATCCTACGTGATAAAATAATTCTGTACTCATTCCAGAAATGAATACTTTGAGGCACAGAAGTCAAGTGATTTGCCTAAGGCCACTCAGCTAATCAGATGGAGAGCTGGCAACAGAACTCAGGAGACCCAACTACCCGTCTTCTGTTTTGACCACTAAACCAACTTTCTATGCAGAGTGTAATACGTTTAAGGTAGGTTAAATTTTCGGGGCACATGAAGAGAGGTCTTTAACCTGGAAGGTTACAAACTGTAATTGTAGAAAGAGTTAATTTTTGTAAATCCTTTTTTTAATCTGACACCTAATTTTTTTCCTCATCTACCTCAGCATTTCTTAAAACACTTCAAGCTCAAAAGTGAAAATCATGGATATTTACCTTCCCATTATCTTTGTGTGTTGATTCTTTTCCCCTGTGAAATGTGTACCTGCATTATTAAATGCAGGTACATCGCCCACGATGCGGTAATCAAAAGGTGGGCTGGTGACTCCAAAGAAAGAGGATAAAAGCCCAGGCAGGAACTGCACTATGATGCGGTCTCTATCATTTATCACACTATACATAGCTTAGACTCTAATGTCACTAAGAGAAATAGCATGGGGAAAAGAATTACGAGGAAAATACCTATTAACACAGACTCTAACTGCTATTTTAGAAAGGTGAAAGCTGCTAATGTTTTCTCTTTTTTTCTTTTTGGATTGAATTTCATTGTCCTATTTTTTTTTCTATTCCTGCTGAAAAGTTGTATGAACCCTCCCTCGTTCTTCTCTTTCCACACCACCAAAATATTATTCTAACTTGCTCTCCCACTTCCTAACTAAAATGGGAGTCATGGTTCAAAAGTACATAAGGGAGGCAGCAATACTTACTGGCTCTGAGGATGTTCTCCTTGCTGCTGCACCTGGACTGGACCTGCAGAGAGAGCACAGACTCTATGAGCTACAGTAGATAAGAAGCACAGCAAGATGTGGCGATTTAATGGGCAAGCTCCTGGGATCTAGAATCAGAGGCTCTACATATTTGACACCTTAACAATTTTATATAGTGTATATATAGGATACATATAATCAAGCAGAAAGTTATTGGTTGACAGTCTGAATCTGATATAAGCAATTAAAAAACACAAACAAACCAGCCTAAAGGACAGATTTTTAGGTTAAGAAATGAATATACAGCTTTCAAAGATACATATTAAACTTCAATTTTACATTAAATTCCAAGTTCATTGTATATAATTGTGACCACATTGATCCTGAACCTAAGTTCTTGTGTTTTATGTGCAGACCAGAATAATAATATGCCTGTATTAATATAATCTGCTTGAAGACTTGATTATTGCTGCTTTCAGTGGAGTCACTGAGGTTTCTTAGAGAGAAATTCAAAATGCGAACAAGTTAGAATGTGGTGGTTGTGAAAACATTTAGCAATTCTGCTTCACAGCTGCACAAACATCTTCTGGCTGGAGACAGATGAATTTGTTCAGCTGTTTAAGTCTAGTTTAGAAAAGTACTATGCCTAATATGCTTTTTAGAGTGTAGATCTACTTTGAAAAGTGATTGTGTAAAAATAGCATCTTCTTACTCAATATATCTACTCCTTGTGGGCCCGATTCCCACTGTGTTACTCCAGTTTTGGGTGTAATATTGAAGTAACAGTGGTGAATCATGTCTGAGTATTTAGAGTCATATCTGCTTGCTATGGAGACTAATAGAAGTTTTTGTTTTCAAATACTGTTAGCCCTGCAGAGCCAACACAATATAGGATATGTCTTCACTGCAGAGTTAACTCAAGTTATCTACACTCAAGTTAACTTTTCTCAGTCTTGCTTGAGTCAGAGCCGTCACACTGCAAAATAACACTTGAGCTGCACAGAATAATTGGATTAGTAGTTGATGAGTTGTCATAATTTGAGCTGTGGCCTATACACCGAGGCCAGCCAGCTGTTAAAAGTTAAAAAGCACATCAAACTTTAGTTCAAGGTTTTTGTGTATGGATGGGACTCAAGTTAGAGGCAACACTAGTTATAACTAGTTATAACTCAAATTAATTTTGAAGGGAAGATAAGCCCTATGAAAGTGTGAGAAGTGTGAGCTGGATTCTTTTCCTTCATGTGCTTCTTCAACAGAATTGTTCATTAAGACTTCAAGTACAACGCCAATAAATTACACCTGTGTAAACCTATTTACAGCAATAGGGTTGCACAGGTGTCATTGAGGGCATATTTTCCTTGTAAAACCTCTTTTAGTGTTGAAGAAGGAAGGGTAGGAAGGAAAGAGACCAGCTTACCTTTCAGATCTGAGGTTGAGTTTGTGGGGGTGGAAGCTAGAAAAATATCTGCCTGCAAACTGAGCACACATGATAAGGAAATTATTGATGAGTGATAAATGTGGAACCTCAAAGTGCCATTTTTCAGTCTCTTTTCAGACTAGAGCCATCTTTTAAGTCTGAAACTAATCCTTCCTTGTTTTCTAAACCTCTTTCTTTCATTCCACAGCAGCTTGCCCCAAACGCATATTCACACAATTTGGATACTACAGTGTAACACAGTCTACTCATTGTAATGAAAAAACTTATGACGGAAATGTTGCAACTTAGACTGGGTTATGGTTGTCCTTCCCTGAAAAAAAATGTTATGTTTAAAAATTAAAACCACCCTCCTCCCCGTCAAAAATACTACATAGGTAAACTGCAAAATGTCAGTGATGCCCTGATTTGGCCCAGAGTTGTTTTTCCATTTTTCAGGTACACGATAAAATAAAATCTCATTGGAAGAGGAAAATGTTTCTCTTTGAAGGGCAATTCTGGACCAAAAAGGAAGGTATAATGATATATGAGAGAGAGAGAGGGAGGGAGGGCTGGATGAGTGAGTGGGTCACAGTTGGGGAAAACCCATAATGTGGTATGCAAAAGGAGAGATGGGCCTATCTGCATAGGATATTATTTAAAATTGAAGAGGCTCTGCTATTTCTCATTGAAAACCATATGGAAAGAGAGAACAAGGAATGGGCTTGTTGCAAAATAATCAAGAAATTCAGCAAACTTTGGAATGAAACCTAGTGAAACAACAACACAGTCCTAAAGAAAAAAAAGAAACAAAAAAATCCACACAAACACTCAGAAACAATCTAATAAAACAAACTAAGTAAAAATATGATTCAAAGGACACAGATAAAAGCTACTGGGGAGAGGAAAAATGTTAGTGGACAAAGACAGTGCTAAAGAAGTAAAATGGAAGTCAAGAGAGAGTCTTCAACAAAGTGTGGGAACAGGAGCCCAAACCCATAGCGCAAAGCAATGTTTGCGAATGGAAAGCAACTCCTTTGAGCAATAATAGTTACTCTCGAGTCGTAGCCTCTATTCCTCCTGAGTTCATCTTTAAGCCCTTCCAATCTATAGTGGAGCTAGTATATGAACAAAAACAAGAAATTTATAATGAACAGAGCAGCTGAGACTTGCAGATCTAATATACAAAAATGTGCTGACAGAGTACCACTCTTACAACGTCCAGATGACAATGGCAACAAAAGACAGCTGGCTTCAAACATAGCTTTGGGAGGTATATTTTTATTCTGTGAGCACAGAGGACTTCAAATGACAAAGCTAAATTGTGCTTTACAGTGTCTCATGGTGACCTAATGTTTACACTTTATCACTCACCTGATTAGCAACATATGCACTGTGGGAAATAATTTGCTTTCCACACATTTTAAAAGCAGCTGTAGAAGAGGAATCCATAATTGTGAAAAAACACTCAACTAGACTTGATAATTTCCCATCCTATGCTCTCAGCTGCAGAATACAAACCCTGCTGCAACACAGCTGAAGGATTAATCAATTAGCCAATACTCCCATTTACTGTATATTTCACATTCATAGCCTGTCTTATTTTTTTAACATTGTTCCATTAAAAATGATTTTAAATTTTAAAAAATAGTAGTGTTTTCTAGCCCAACCATTTAACCTACTTTAGAGCTTTGTGTAAATTGTCTTTTTCATGTTTTATCATTTGTATATATTTTGTACCTGTGATATTTTTAAAATCTGTAGGTACATCAGGGTTACATAATTTTTAAAATCATATAACCCTGAAGTAAATATTCTGGTGTACCATCATACACCATATCATGACTTGCTGGGGCAGATGGTTTTGGAACAATTGTAATTCTTCCCTCACTCACAGGCTGCTCCAGAGATGATAACCTGTGTCTGTCTCCCATATCACAGGAAGTCTTACTGTTTCTTCTGTCTACATTCCCTAGCTGCCAATATTTTTTGGCAGAGAAGCTCTGAATAAATTGGGATCTCATTCAATATCATTCCCCAGGGTGGCTCAGGAGGAAACAATCAGAAAGCAGAACATCCACATTCCACTGCCCTGACCTTTATGTCCATAGGATTTTATTATATTTAAATTATAATTGTATTGCCTTGTAATGCAGAGTAAACCTTGTTCACGTGGGCATAAACACCAAACACTATGTGAAACAAAGCATTTTAAATTAAAATAAACAGAGGGAATGGTAAAAACAAGAAACCTGCTGACAATCTCTATCTATCACTCATGACTGGTCTGAGACATGAAATCACTTGTTGCAACAGATTGGATGTGTATAAATCTACATGATATGTTTTGCAGCAAATCATAGCATCTATAAGGGTATCTTTACAAGTAAAATAGAAAATGACATGAAGAAAAGCTCATGCTACAAGTGAAGTAAAAGTAAAATAAATAAAAGAGGAAAGAGAAGCCTTTACTACATGACCACAATCTTTAGGAATGGTTAGAGAAATTACTTACCTTTTATACGTCATAACAAGATTTAGCACAGAGTATTAAGTCTGCTCTTCATTATGGGAGGTACAGTTAAAAGCCATAGGTTATAGTAAAATGAATTGCTACACAAACATGAAGAGTTTCCAGCCAAATATGAAAAGCTAAGTCTTATGGGGGAACATTTCAACTGAGGTTTAATGCAACATGAAGAACAATTTGTAACAACATCAAAACACATGATTTTACCACCAGCAGTAGAAAGAACCCATTTCTCAAGAAAACACAGGACCATAGGAGGCTAACCCATAATCTAGTTACAGGAAAGCATATTCCATTATTAAGACAGCATGCAGAATGTGGAACCACCAGCAGAAACCCAACAGGGAAGGGAATGGGTTAGCCAAGCTGCAATGAAGGAAGCAGGACATGCGAAGCACAGCAGCAGTTACGAATTTGAGAACTGTCTTCATTTAACTTCCCTATAAATGTCAGACTCATTTAAGGAGTAAGGAAAAGATTCTTTTCAGTGTGTCCTACAAGTCATGGCTACAGTTTAGTGTGGAACTCTTATCATCTTTCCCTGAGACTTCAACACTTGTGTAGAAACCAGCTGTACTCTGTGAGAGATTTGGTGCAGTATACTGTTGCTGCCTTTTCCCATCTGTTTCATGAAATAGGCAGAGTGGATAAATTGTATATAATCCACTCTTGGAATACAAAACCTCTAATACATTCAAATCGCTTTTCAGTATAAGACTGTCAGCAGCACATGAGTGGCAAGAAAAACCTTAGCACCAATCAAGCTTTAGTACATACACCTCTACCTCAATATAACACTACCCGATATAACACGAATTCGGATATAACGCGGTAAAGCAGTGCTCCGGGGGGGCGGGGCTGTGCACTCCGGTGGATCAAAGCAAGTTCAATATAACGCTGTTTCACCTATAACGCGGTAAGATTTTTTGGCTCCCGAGGACAGCGTTATATCGAGGTAGAGGCGTACTACTGCTTTGCTGTTCAAATTCTGCTAACTTTCAAATTTTTCTCCTCATACTTCCCTACAGTTAGTAATTACATGATCTCAGTTCCACACAATTTACTGTGTGTGGATCTTTTGGATGATCCCTCCAATACT